AAAATCAATAATAAATAAATGATACTGATTTTTCGGCTCTACATTGGGTATGTTTAAACCCTGTACGTTTTACGCGATTTACATCCAAAAAAGTGTTTCTTTTTTCAAACACATCACGGTCACGACCGGCTCTATGAGCTCCTCTAATGAAGTTATTGTCTATTGACTTGTCTTCTTCTTATTATATCGACAGCCTACACTATAACTGCTTGCTATCTTCATCATCATCCACAGCCTGATTTCACCCGCTGCTGGGTATAGGCCTCCCGAAGTTTGTGCCACCCACCAAGGTCCCGTGCTAGGCGCATTCATTGACGCCCCGCGACGCGTACTGTTTTGCCCATCCTCTGCCACCAATCAGTCGATGTCTTGCTTTACCTGTTATCACCGTGGCTTGGTAGGTGTCCCGCCCAGCTCCATTTGAGTTCCGTGGTCCGAGTTCCAGCATCCTGGACTTTCGTCCGTCCTCGGATCTCAACGTTCGGAAATCGGTCTACAAGGTTGATGCCGAGCATGGCGCGTACGTCCGATGTACAGGAAAGGAATGGTATATCGTGCGTGGAGGCTCTTTTCGTGCATCCTGTAAAAAATCCGATTTTTCTATTTAAATAACCGCGATTCAGCTCCGAATAGTTTAACGGAAATCTAACAACACCTGTTTTCATATATAACATCAAGTGACGGGACGAACAAGTCGTGCGCCTGTTGGTAAGCTACACGCCTGTCCATAACAGATACAGTGCCACTCAGACCTTTAAATTGCAAATTTTTTTAAATAAACGCAATTCAACCCTAATAAATAGTTTAACGAAAACCTAATTACTCAATAATAAAGAAACTCTCCTGCCTACATAAAGATTAAATAACAATATTCGAGCAAAATTTAATTGTAAAATATTGTAATCGCAACTACACGTAATTCGTAACCATGCATCGACGCAAACAATCGCAAAATAATCAAATACCAGAAACAGTTATTAAGCGCCCATTAAAGTCTACATTTGAACATGTCGGTCAAGAACGTTACGGCTTAAGGTTTACTCAGACTTAATGTGCAATTATGTGCAGCACAAGACGCATGTCTGCTCGCTTCTCACTCAAAGTGGACCGTGAACGAAGTATTATTAAAGAATGAACCTTACTTATGGCGATATTAAAGCTATCATCGTGAAAGTGACTTGCCAAAGTTATGTATGAACAACTTTTGCTTAAAATACTAGAGATGGAATCTGACTGGTTTTTGTGCGCTTCTTGGTCCTTGACTGGTTTATTGAAATTCCATAATATCAATTGCGGTGGCTGTAAGTTGTGTATCAAAACAAAAATCGTCTTTCGTGTTCTCTAAGGCACTGGCTCTACCATAGTATCCTGTGAACTATGATATTAAAACAAACAAAGTCAAAATGTCGGTTCTGTTTTGAAAAAAAAAACATATACGCGATATAGATACGAAAAAATAGTTTCATTTCCTATTAACTATGATAATACAAAAAATCGAAAATAAAATGTCTGCCGTGACCATGGGACCCGTAAATAGGCCAAAAAGATTTGTTTAAAAAAATATAATAAAAATAATAATTTAGTTAGCAGTAGAACTCCTTGAGAAATAATTCGTCCAGGGAAGTTCTGCGTTCCGGTTTTGCTGGTGAAATTACAGGCACATGGGACTAGTCAACTAATGTCTCAGGATTACGTGAGCAGTGGCAGTGCCCCTCAGATCTTTGGGATTTAACGCTCTGAGTGGCACTGCAACTGTTATGGACAGGCGTGTAGCTTACCATCAGGCGTACGACTTGCTCCTCACGTCACTTGATTTTAATAAAAAAAAAATTGAAAATATCTTTTAGGCGGTTAGATGTCGTTCAACGTTCAAAAACTGATAGTTGTAGAGATGTCAGTCCGGTTACGTACTAATCCGTCATTTGAGTTTAATTTTCAACTGCCTCTGTGGCCGAACGGTTAAGGCGCGTGTCACTTTACACCACGCGCACGACATGTAAAACAGTCATTTGTAAGATGTCTTTAGAGTAATTAAAATACAAGAGTGTCTCAAAGTTTTGTTACCTCAAATGCATCGGCTCTACCAAAGTACCCCGTGATCGTGATATATAGATTATGATCAATAGTAAGCCGTAATCACGGGACCCGTAAAGGACCGGCACCGTTGGTTTATTTGAAATACGCGATGTAGATACGAAAAAATAATTTAACTTCCTATTAACTATTTCTTATGAGAATAAAACAAACAAAATAAAATGTCTGCCGTGACCATGGGACCTGTAAACAACACGAAACGTTTTGTATGAAAAAAAAATGCTATTTAAATCCGAAAAAATTAGTTTCCAATGTGAAGCAAACGCAAAAACTTAAGAACCCGATAAAATGAGAAATTACTGTGTGTTACAGAAGAACCTTTACGTCGTTGTTTTAGATTTTTTTTTTATAGCCTAACACTAGGAACACCCCGTGTAGCGGGTGTAATAACTAATAAATTGATTCCATAAACATGGCTATGATTGATTCAATTACCATTAACTTTTTTCTTCACACAATAAATACTAATGGAAAAACATCGTGAGAATTTACTTAACAAAAACATTTAATTAATAAATGACATTTATAAATGACAGGACAGTGTTATTTTATTTCAGTTTCCGTTTAACATTTGAAGCGCCTGTTTCATCTTTCATCTTTAGTGAATATTAAGAGTAAAAAACCGTATCAATTATATAAAGGTAGTAAAAATGTTTGAGAATTTCATTTTATCATCATGTCATTTATTTCATATTCCAGAAATGCAAAAAAAAATCGATTATGTTAGTTATGATATCGAGGCCGAGGGCAGGAAAATAAAAGACCCAAAATTTTCTTCTGTCTAATGGTGGCACCCCACATGGTTGTTTGTATGTCTAATGATGGTAACCCTAACCCCACATGGTTGTTTGTATTTGCGTATTTGATATATTTGGCAAACAATCACCATGTGTAGACAGCATGTGTGACAAAGTATTTGTCATGTTTGCATATTCGACAAATACAGCAAACACCAAACTCGCGTTACCGCGCGCTGATCCGTTTCTTGACGCACATCAAAGGAGCCAAATAGGCAAATACTCGAGTAACTCATCCGCAATATGATCATATTCATTATTTTAACTGCTTATTTGGCTCTGTAGACGGTCATATTTGTCCGCTGTACGTCAAATATTTTTCCAATTGCATCAAACACCCTTTACCATGTAGCCATGTGAAATGCTGCCATGATGCTAAATAGAACGAAGTATAAAATGTTTTGCCCAAAAACAAAGCACTTATTTTCATCTATCACCTTCGACCTACGAAAAGAAATCTAGTTCAATTCGGAAGTAATCCATCATGGTCACTTATTTAGGTCACTAGGATGGCTATCAATTCAATGTGCGATACCTAGTTCTTAGTCTGACTGGAACGTCCATTTGGATAAGTTACGTCTAAAAGATTTGGGCGTTGTAAAAAGTGCTCTATAAACAATAGTGTAATAGTGTTCTTCATGTAAATGGCTTATGATTGGTTAGCGCTATTAAATCTGCTTAATACGTAGGTGCTCTATATATCAAATATTACAGATTGTTTTGGTTGCATAAAAAAGCTTTTTAAGCTTACACACCGGTTTTCATGGTGCTGCCATTTATCCGCGATCCCCGACCGGGGCAATGTGGAAAACTAACTTTTCTATGTTGTCTCGGGTCTGGGTGTTGTGGTACAGTTTTTGTTTCCTATTTCCATAACGCGAGGTGTTTTAGTTACTTTTTTGGGATCAGAAGAACGTATGTGGTGTTGTCATTGTCACGTTTGACTGACGTGGGACCAGTAAAGGGCCCGAAACGTTGGTTTGTTTGAGAAAATAAATATACGCGATTTAGTTTTGAAAAAGTAGTTCCATTTCCTATGTGTTACATTTGGTTCATTTTTACTAGAATACAAACATGCCTTTCGACTTCAGTTTTTTTTTGTTGAAAAACTGACCGATTTAAACAGATAAAAAAAAAGAAATTACTTGACGTATCACACACTCAATAATAAACTGACGTAATCGAAAACAGTAATTACTGGAGAATCTAACAAAATATGACACCTGTCACAATTCCCATTGGATTATACCAAATGAGTATAACGATGTATTAGTTTTATTTTGTACATACTTTTTAAGAAACTTACAAGCCATTGCATTCACTTTTTCTGTTTGTTATATGTTTGTTTTGATATATCTACTGTATTGTAAGTACGTATTGTTGTACACATAAAAGTGCGAGAGTTACCGACCGCGATCGAGCCGTGCAAGGCGTGTGTTGCGTGTTTTGATCATAGTATCTGTGCTTTCCGTTAATCTAATCGTAATGAGTTCCGCCACTTATTGCTTCCGCACACGATGGGTCTGAGTAGATATCTTAATTAAGAATTTCCATATACAATTTAATAAACTGACTTTAGATCCTATTTTATAAACGAACTTAAAAGAAATTGTAGCAATGTAAAATTTGAACAGCGTTAGATATCTAAGGTTGTGACTATCTTGTCGTGCATGCCGTGTATATATTTTTTGTGATATCAAACGGCGGAACAAGTGATACACCTGATAGTACGACGCACCTATCCATAACAGTTGCTGTGCTAGTCAGAGCTTTAAATCGCAAAAATCTTCAGGCACTGCCACCGCGCCTGTCACCCTGAGACATAAGTTGATAATGCTTAAGTGCCTGTAATTTCACCGGCATCTAATACCCTTCCAATCCGGAACGCAAAAATGCTTACATTACTGCTTGGCGGCAGAAATAGGTAAGGTAAGGCATGGCCTGGCCGAACACTATCACAAGGCGCTCTGCTGCTACTAAAAATTGTTCACATTTTCACTCGAAATGAAACTTAATCGATCAAGACGCCTCGTAATGTAATTAGATTATGTATTATGTGCCACCTGTAGCGACAGAGCTATATTATAAAATATTCTCTTTTGTCCGCAGGAGGTGACAGATGAGAGCGACGGGTGCGGTGCCAAATTCTCAGCGGTCGTAGTGTCAGACAAGTTCCAAGGGAAGCCGCTCCTTGCCCGTCATAGGTGAGCGACTACCTCATTCAGACTACATTAATAATTTAATCGAATAGCGAGTAATTTAGTAACTAAACGTCTACCAAACGACCAAAATACTTTCGCAATGCAGTCGACTACATTAAACCTGGATCAGACTATGTTAGTAATTTAATCAGGTGGCGAGTCATTTAGTAACTAAACACGTATCAACTGACAATAAGAGTTCGCGCTACGGTACGTTAGTGAGTAGTGTAATGCAAGATGAATAGACAGTGCAACGAAATAAAAAACTAAAAAAAAACTTATTGAAATAACTGTTTTAGAAGAAATTGAATAAGACATTAGTATAATACAAGAATAAACTATAGTTATGATGTCTCAAAAAAAGGCGATGCGACTCATGATGTAATATTTCGCAACAATTTTTTTTTTTAATCCAACGAAACGACATTTTTGCTGTAGCTAATGAACTTGACTAAATTGATAAGTTGCAACTTGTTTATGAATCACAGTGCAGTAATGCGCGGTGGGGAACGTTACTCGCCCGAAAATATAGAATAAAATGGATCGACTCGACAATTCCCTTACAAACTACTCAAAAATTTTTGTTTAGTTTAGTTTTAAATTGCGAGCCACTCAACTAAATTACTAACATAGTCTAAACCGTGATTAGGTATAGCAATGTAATAAAATCATAAACAATCTCACACACTTATAACACAATACATAATATATGTATACATAATATTATATATTAAAGCATATTGACACTAGTTAGGTTTAAATACAACAGTGAACAAAACCATCTTGTACTCAACACCAGTTGTTTTTTAGGGTGAGCCGTAATACAGGTCCAGATGCCTAGTATGACCTCTGTTTGAACGAAAACTTGCGTTTTTCTTTCGCTCGGACCGCGCCGACGCAAAAAGCACGTCTTTTTCACTCTATATACATATATCGACTCATCCGTAGAACAAAGATCTATGTGCAAGACTACTTGTTCTCAGGACATAGTACGTTTCGGTCGTTCTTCTTCGCTGTGGATGCCAGATCGAGTGTTGTTCGATATTATATTTCCGAAACGAAATAAGATATATAAATTCTAAACACCTTTTCATAGGCCTTAGTTTGAATAACGAAATTATTCTCGTAACTTACTTATTACTACTATGTTGAGTGTGTGCGTTATTATTATTATTCTTCTTTTTTCGCTATATAATCACATCGGACTCTGTTCTTCGGATGTGTCGATATACTGGAATTTGTAATTTCAATACCCGAATACGGGTACCAATGAAAAACTAATATATTTACCTAAAATTGATGGTAATACCATCAAATTAATAAATAAATAATAATAATTAAATGTTTATTTCCGTAATACAATTAACTTTACATTAACAGTGGATGGTATGTTCTATTAAGCTTTCCAAGCCTGTGTCAGGAGGCACCGCTCTTACATAGCTATAAATGCACATTTAACATTTTTAACTTGTACTTAATTTAGTGTTCAGTGTCAATTTTAATTTTTACATTTCCAAACATGCCCAAAACAAATTATTTGTAACTTCTAATTTTAAACTTAATTGAATTTGATGAAACCATTTCTTATATAATTTATATCGGTAGCATCTAGTACCGGTACTGTAGCAAATTTATTGGTACCAGTGCCAGTGACAATAACCGGTATTCCAAGCTCTCTTTGAATTTGATCTCCCAAAGCCAGCATGATGGTTTGTTATCCAATAACCTTTAGAAGACTCAGTGACGTAGGTATGTTCAAATAACAATAGTTTACCATTTTATAGGTTTGATATATTATCGGTTGGGCACACACAGCGAATAATCCCCTAGTGATGAATCTACAAAAGATAAATTAACAAATTTAAAAATGGCGTCACAGTACATTTCGTCGTATTAAGTGAAACTCTCATATGTGATTTTTCAGGACGATAATACAAGAGTGTAGTTTAAAATATAGTGAACACAATTAGGTTTGTAGTGATTTCTTATTTATTTATTTACAAACCCACACCAATATTGTCAGTGGCTTTGATTTGTCTAAGTAAACTTGGGGGTTGAAGTTGGCTACAACAGAATTTCTTCACAAGTTTAAAGAAAAACTAATTGCCTATATGCCATCATTTCATAATACACCTTTATCTACACATATAATTTAATTGTGAAATTTTCTCCAATTAAACATTGACACAGAGTACTTAAAATTCCAGAGACACACGCAGTCTGACCAGATAGTTAATTGGCATAGTTGGTGTAATTACACATACTGGGTACTGATGGAACTAGTATTTCGGCCTTTTTAGAAATATAATTATATTTACTAGCTTATAGAACTAGTTTTCTTGCGTAACCTTATTTATATTACATAACTACAATATTGTTCAGTGTATTAAATATTTCTCACTTTCATGTTGACGTATTAAATAAACACAATAGCATTGAAACATATCGAAATAAAATGTATGTTTATCTTGACATGACGTGCCTTAACGTACGTTCTTTCTTCTATACGTATTTCTATTGTTAAAAATATTTAAAAAAATATTGTTAATTAAAATTATTTTTAACAATAGAAAGACGTACATTTATTGCTTAGGTCATAATTAGAGAACAAATCAATCAGGTCAAATAAATGGATAATACCTCCCTCTGAAATTCAAGAATGCTCAAAGATCAAAACAAAATATTTTTCTTCTATACGCTACCGTAGTAGTGAAACTCGAAAACATTGAACAACAGTGGCGGTAGATCTCCTTGTTAAAGAGTTCGTCCAGGGAAGGACTGCCACCTTACCTATTTCTGCCGCCAAGCCGTAATGTCAACATTACTGTGTTCATGTAAAATACAGGCTCATGGGACTTGTCAACTTATGTCTCAGAGTGACGGGTGCAGTGGCAAAGCCCCTCTGATCTTTGCGATTACTATCTATTACTATACATCTCTGAGTGGTACTGCAACAGCTACGGACAGGCGTGTCGCTTACCACCAGGCGCACGACTTGTTCGTCCCGTTACTAGTCATTTTAAAAAAGACAAATTACAATTCAATAATTACTCTGTGTACTACCTTGAAGTGTAGATAAGTATGGTATTTTATGAGTTCTAGTTACATAATAATAATAATAAATTTCATATGAAACATCATCAGATTATACAGACAAATTTGACATTAACAGTGTTAAGCTTGCAACGTTGCATTTAGGGCAAGACAACACTTCCCTCTTTTTTCAAAATAAATCTGTTTATGCTACAATGTAGATACATAATTTGTACTCTATATATTGACTTTAATTGAAAAAAAAAACAAAACGTGCCAGTGATTCATTGCATCAGCTTCAGAAATATCTCTGAATTATTGTGTACTCTGCATTTCTTTGCCGGTTATAAGTAGATTGATGTACATGTGTTATCTAAACTTAGTTTTATTATAAATGGCGATGGATTTAGACTTGAAGCAATCACAAAACTGTAGTTACTTATTCGAAATATATACACAAGGCAACACAGACATTGTCTATAGGTGTATAGATTACAATATACTGTTTTTTAGTCGTTTTGTGTTTGTACGTTACAATATTGGCAAAACGTTCAATAATGCTATGTTTACAAACATTCGCTTCCGTTCCGCAGCATTGTAAATTAATAATAATAATATAAAGCCTTACCCTTCAGAGCCGGAACACAGTATGCCCACATTATTGCTTAAGGTGGCATCTCTTAGCGAACTCTTTCACAATGAGCTCTAGTGCTTGATGATATACATAATAATACTGTACCATAAAGCCATTATATAGGTACCCTAAATTTAGCTTGAAAAAACTTAACAAAACAGAGTTCATATGTCAAAGCAAATGCGCCAATGCTACCACAAAGATTATTCAGATACAGCTCTCGAAAAACCAAATAGTGATAAGAAAACTATTGTACGTTTTCATAAAAGGTGTTTAACCTTTGCAACAGACTTTATTTAAGATAAGAACCGTTTTGTTCGAAATGTTTAGCGTGTCTAAAAAAATAATAAATTCAAAAGGCATGTAATTGTTTGAAAGAAGCTTAGTTTGGGTACACGTTAACGATCGTCTTTTGTCTGCGCTCAAACAAAATGGAAGCTATTTTTATTACAAAACAGCAAAACGTATGTGACCCGATATGTTAACTCGTCCACAGATTGGTGAACTCAGTGCTCCAGGAGGAATTGAAGACAATCCACGCATTCACACAAAAGACCCTGACGGTGGAACAGTGGAAACAACAGTCCTAATGTTACTATCTATTACAATACAATGAAGTAATATTGTTCTGTAGTTTTAATTTTACCTGAAGACAAAGATATAAAAATGTTTAACGGAATGGATAACGTGTATACCGTGAGCGTGTCGGCGCCCGGCAAAGTAATCCTCCATGGGGAGCATTCAGTGGTATATGGGAAGACCGCCATCGCCGTCAGCCTGGGATTGAGGAGCTCTATCGTTATAAAGGTAAATTATGTCATTATTATTAACATGAACAGCAGATAAAGGTGCGGCGGAAGAACATTTATTTCTCAATTGAGACGTAATTCGAATCTCTATATCGGCGGGATTTAAATGTAAAAATGTGACTTAATTATATACAAATACAGTACTGTACCTGTTCTAGAATTTATTCTAGAATATAACAATAGTTATTGTTTTCAAGAATACGTAGACATATAAACAGTGATAGTTAATCTTATCACTATAACTTATAAATAGTGATAAATTGTTAATGCTTATAAACAAAATCGATGATAATCTAACACTCAATAATCGTTACTTTGTAAGTGATGTAACTTTGCTAATCTACAGTGACATTACAAAGTTTCAATACTGAAAGTGGATCTATTTATAAGTAGACATAGGAAATATATTTACTTGAAAATGTTAAAGTAATACTATAGAGTGGATAATACCTTCCTCTGGAGCTGGTAAAATTACAGGCACATGGGACTTGTCAACAAAATGTCTCAGGGTGGCGGGCGCAGTGGCGGTGCCCTTAAGATCTTTGCGATTAAAGCTCTTAGTGGCACTGGTCACTTGATATAATAAAAAAAATCTGAAATCAAAAGTAAAAGGCAAAAAATCAAAAGAAAATTGACATAGTGAGATACAGAGGGCGTGGCAAAGCGGTCGTAACGACAACAAAGTAAAATACACATGGTAAAGAATAAGCGAAACTTTATTGGTTGATGTATAAAAATAAAGGCGAAACGGGATGTCCGATAGGTGCTCAGACACACCCCACACGCTAATAAACTTTCAATGTATTCCAGTAGGAAACGTACAAACATTTTTTTATTAAAAACATTTTTCATTGGGCCCTTGATTGCCTTGACTGCACCACCGGGCAAAAATGCGGGCTGAAGGCTCTTACATTACTGCGGAACGGAATGTGAGCGAATTTTTGTGCCCATAGCGTAATGAATTTTATGTGAATTGTGTAACGTATAAACTAGATAGCCAAAAAACAGGTCACGAATTCCCGTAGCTACCATATGGTATAGTTTATTATTTATTATTATTATTATTTATTACACAATTGACATAAAGTCCATTATAGTATGGTTACAAATCTTCGCTTCTTAAATTGAGGCTTACTGTTGTGAAATTTACGTATATTCTACTTATTCCGAACTCAGGTCATTATGATCAAGAAATAGTCAACGCAATCACACAACACCATCAGTTAATGTGTGGAAGTGGTAGAAGCAAACTGTGAAGAACTGTGCTTAAGTACGCTTTAAAAGTAATAAGGGGGGTCGTAATATCTTATGCATGGTTTGTTGTCGTTTGCTATTATGGCATGCGTGGTTACGACGTTATTATATACAGGGTGCTAACAAATTAGGTACGGATACTTTTAAAAGTCGATTACTTTTCTCTTTATAATCATTTTAAAGTAATATAAAACAATAAATCTATGCTGGTTGTGAGAAACTTAAGAAGTTAATTACTAAACACACCACATAGTTATTTAAATCTATTGAATGTTGTGTTTTGAAAGCTTACAACTGTCACTGGCCGCTTTACTATTAAAATGAAATAGAATGTCAATGTCACGTTATTCTTCGTGATGATTCCATTTGTCCGGTCAACACGTTCATATTTATCGGTATAATTATGACACATAATAATATAATAAGCTATATTGACAGGCGTCAATTTTATACTTCTTGTCAGTAAAATGCGCAAGTTTAGTCAGTAAAATGTTTGTAACTAATTTGTCTGTAACTAATTTTTAGCACCGTATATAATTATGTTGTTCTCTTTAATTTTCATCCAGTTATTTTTTATAATTTTAATGGGCTAAACACACTGAATTCATTGCAGTGCGGTGATTGGTATTTAGTAATAATAGTACCGCGCTATGCTACTTGCAACCTTTAGTAGCTTTGACGTAATCACAGACTCTACTCCGAAAGTATCCATCTCATATATGAAGTTGCTTTTGCATGTGAAAAGCCTTCAAAACCATCCAAGCAAAACTCAAGATGTATTTCATTTGTGCAGGAAAAGAACACAGTCAGCGAACCTGTAGTGCAAATTCACCTGCCATGCGTAGATCTACAGGAAACTATGCCCCTAGAGCCAATAGTGCAGAATTTATTCAACCCGCAACTCGCCCCAGGGATCACTGGAAAGTTCCACTGGCGTATCCCGGATAAATTGGACCATGAAACACACTTGAGACGGGTCGACGAGTTCCTTCGCGTTTTCAAGCCCAATTTCGATAGTATGCAGAGTAATCAGAAGAATTCATTGAGGAGTTTCTTATATGTTTTCTCGGGTACGTATTATTTGTTTGGAATCTCTCTACGTATGAAGCCAATGGGACAGACATTTCAATTTATTCCCACTATATAGATTTTAAGACTTTCGTGGTTATTCACTAAATGATTATCACTAATATCGGGTTTCTTACCACGGTATGACTCACTTGATTGACTCGAGTCAACCCGTGACCATGGAGCGTGCAACCGTTCCGAAATATCGGGAAAATAAAAAGAAGTCATACCGTGGTAAGAAACCTGATATTAGTGATAATAATTAATTCCCACTAGTTCAATGCTTGAAACTTTTAGGTTACAATTGGAGTTTCATGTTGAACTGAGTACGTACGTTTTCGTTAGCAGACGACAGAACGGTTTGCACTACGGGAGCTGGATAAGGAGGTCCCGGGTTCGATTCCCTTTAGAACCAATTTGGGAAATAACTTTTGTGACGATTCTGGTTTGAATCTTCTGATGAAAGAACTAATACTAAATCTGTGGCTCTAGTGAAAAGGGGTACTCTGGTACTAGTTAAAAAACTCAACAAAAAAACTTTTCGCGTCTCCTTGTAAAGTTGTTTTTTTTACTTGTACCCCTTTTCATCAGAACCACAGAATGTATGTACGATGTGTCCATATAACAAATTGTCCCGTGTAGACGTAGATGATCTAAAAACGCAATTTGCGGTATTACAGCCTGAAATGCGGCACTAAACATTTACATTTCCACTTTCTCAGGCATATTCGGCAGCACTAACCTCCCAGTACGATCAATGGACATCTCCATGGGTTCCGAGCTGAGCATCGGCGCGGGCACGGGCAGCTCGGCCTCCTTCGCCGTCTGCCTCGCAGGGGCCCTAATCCAACTCCTCAAGCTTAAAAGTTCAACGAATTCCTCATCGCATTTCGACGTCTTCTACGAACAGTCTAGTGAGGACTTTGACATGAAAGAGAAGGAAATCATTTCCGAGTGGGCTTTTAATTGCGAGAGGATCATGCATGGAGTGCCATCAGGTGAGTTTTATCGTAACTTAGTGTCAATTTCAATGTTAGGATGTTTCGTTACCATGATGTTCAATTTTTTATTTTTTTTAAATTACTCCACTAGTTTGTTATAATTATTAAAGAAAGATCGAACACTTAGAAAAGTTCCTTCGATCCGGCCGTAGTCGAACCGACGTCTCCTAGCAAACCGTGTCAGAGGCTATGCCAACTAAGCCACGGAACGAACCAGCGGACCTTACGAAGTTCTCTTTGTGAAATATAAAATAATGATTTTCTTTAGTATCATTTAAAATAACGTATGTAAATATCTCCCCCACGTTCCCCATGCGTACATAATAACTTTAACATTTTGATGGCGATACACATTTCCCAGCTTGTGTCGTAATTTGTTTACGCACATATAATATCGTTATGAGAATTGATTGTGTCCGCGCATTATGAGTTTCCAACCGACGCGCTTAACGAGACTAATTGCGTACTAAAAACTTATTGAAAATCCGACTAATTTATTTATTTGCAAACTTTATTCAAGTTAAATTACACTCTTACACTTACATTCTTAGTTAACCATTTAACCATTTGTCTTACAAACTTACTTTTCGGACTCTATGTATATAGGTCCCATGCTTTCGGCTGATTAAGATTATATTGGGCTGGTTTCACGACTGTGCGTACGATCCGTACGGACTGTCCGCCTACGGGCCAATCCGCAGTGCTCTGAATCGAGTATTTAATTTAATGCGGATATTCACGCGGAGCACATTCCGTATGGAGCAATCCGCGTCACTGTAAAGCGATGTTCTAATGCCACACGCGTCTACGGTCATAATTAACATTTTATAAGGAAAAAAGTCCTTTTTTTTATTTAAATTTAGCTATTGGCAGAAATCGCTTACTTTTTGGTCATTATATATTGTTCATGTACTTTCAAAAACCGTTATTCCTTAGAAAAATACAAAGTACAGTACCGCACACATTTTATAATCATCATTGGCATCGATTAGTATTAAACAGCATTTGACGCCCTCGTGGTCGAGTGGCTTATACACCGGTTTTCATGATGTCCATCTCTTGAGGCCCCAGAATCGATCTCCGGCCGGGTCAATGTAAAAAAACTTTCTATATTGTCTCAGATCTGGGTGTTTGTGGTACCTTCTTTGTTTCAACTTCCATAACATTATATTTATATTAGAATTGTAACTCGTACCGTAGATTGTTCACTTTATATGATTTGAAGAAAGGCAAGGCTGCTGTCGCGATATTGACCCTAACTTTGATCATAACGAGACCTTACATAACCCCACTGACGCTGGCATTGACTGACGCTGCGCCGGCGCCGACAGATTGTGCTAGGGCCATATGCATTACTTGCCTTTTATTTTTATTACTAGGAGACAAAACATGCGACATAACTATGACAATGGAATCTATTATAACACAATAAGAATTATGTGAAACCGATGAGGTAATAGAATATACTTCATTCGCGGTAATCGGTTATAATGGTCAATAGTCAAAGTCAATTAATCATTTATTTCATAGGTAAAATTTTTACACCTGAAAACGTCATTTTTATTAATTTACTTCTCGTCCACTGTGCTGACTTCTCTGTGAAGAACGAGCAAGAAACTCTAGGGTTTGCTTTTTTCAAATAAACTTAAATGCTATATAATATGCTTTGAATCATATTTATTTGGAATCTAGACTCATGTCGTTTTGTATACAAGACAAGTTAACAAGTCACATATGCCTGTAATTACACCAGTACCCTTACCTAAACTTCAAGTAATAGACATGGAGTGGATAGTACCTCCCTTTAAAATCTCGGTAATTATTAAAAATAAATACATCTATATTTTTACTTACAATTTCAAAACTTCTTCCTTATAGACTGTCATAGTGCCTGCCTCTTAAATTGATTTGTAACTTTATAAAGACAACTATTACGAACAGAAAATCAAATCAAATGTCTTTATTTCGTAATTAATCAAATGACACTCGAAGTCGTTACATCGATTAAAACAACTACACGTTCGTAGGTCAAATATATGTAAGAAAGATTTTTTTTTTTTTATATATCAACACCACAAACATTTCATTACTAGAATCTATATAATAATTTTCTTTTTTATAAAAAAAATAGTGCGTTTTGACCGCCATCTCACCTGATGGAAAGAGACGATGAGGTCGACGATGGACACCTAAATAATGCCTATTTACTTTTGCCTGTATAGGTCGACAGGGACAGAATTCCACTCCAGTTCCCTTTACAAATGTGAAAGCGTAACGCTTAGCTCTTAATAGTACAGTTTTAACAAGCTTCAACCTTTTTCTGATAAATTTTGTACACTACCCTATAAATACCGAACTAACTGAAGAACCTTATCTATCTTCCTCAGGCATAGACAACGCGACCTGCACATATGGCTCCGTAGTCTCATTCAAGAAGGGCGGCAAGCCGAGACATCTGGACATGCGGCTGGACCTGCGCGTGTTGCTGGTCGACTCGCGCGTGTCGCGGGAAACACGCTCGCTGGTCGTGAAGGTCGCCGCGGTGAGGCAGAGGAACGGGCCCGCCGTCGACCATATAATGGAGGCCTGTGACCACATCGCTCGTACCGCTATACAGGTTTGTCCCGATTTCACAATGCCTAATCACCATCAACTACGTTCATATGAACAATTGGCCACATTTACCAGTGTGTTTAATTTAATTCAAAAGACGATTTAAGAGTCGATACTACGTGCTGAGACATGTTGACCTGTATCTCCTATGGTTTCGGATTACCTTATACTCTCTCAGTTAAAAAGACACACTGTATGTTTTCGTCAGGTTTTAAAAAAAAAACATTGAAACATTGTATTCCTAAGTGAATAAACGATGTTTCATCGCAAAAAAGAAAATGACTTTATAATCATGTGATGATTTTATAGTCATTAGTTTTTTATTTGCTATTTTGCTTTAAAGTAATTATTTTTCTTCTTTGTAACAAATGTTTAATTCAACATCATGATTTTGCTAACGTAATGATCGGAAAAAATCATCCAGCATAGACACTCGGTTGAAAAAAACACTATTATAGTTCTATTGTGACATTAATGGGTAATGATGACTTGATTGGAAATAATCAGATGAGATTGTAAAACGTGACAATAATTTCTAATTGTTGCGCTGTTTTTAACTTTTAACAAAAAAGGAGGAGGTTCTCAATTCGTCTGTTTTTTTTTTCGTATGTATGTTACGCGATAACTCCGCAATTTGTGAACCGGTATTGATGATTCTTTTTTTGTTGAAAAGAGGGTACCTCAGAAGTGGTCCCATTTAAATTTGAAGGAAATATTCCACCTCTAAGGGTGGGATGAAAGACTTTTGAGGTCGGTTTTTTTGAACCGGAAGTTAGGTTATATTACCTTTTTCATCAACTTCATGGCCTTTTTGTTTTTGCAACGTGTTTTTATAATCTTTTGACGACAGACGTATGTTTTATGACCTCGAACTTTTAATGATGAATAATTATTTGCTCCACAGGTTTTAGAAAAACTCTCCAGTGAAAAGTGTGAGTCTAACGTCGAAGCAGATTATCAACATTTGGCGGTAAGATTTGTTTATATCCATTGCTTCTTATCCCCTATTTAACTGTCACTGTTTAAAGTTTAATCTGCTAAGAACTCTGTAAATTACATTAGCAGTCTTTTTGAATAGAATAGCACAGAATAGACATTTATTGCAACGCCACTACACATAGATACAAAAAGAAATGACAACACAGCCAAGTATAATAAATATTATACAATAATAAAAAGAATTAATTAACAAAAAAAAACATACAATTAGACAAAATTTACAAAAAACAAAATATAACGACTACAAATTTTGTACTATCATTTGTGTGGTTGTGGTGTACGAAAAAGATCTTTATTCAGCATAAGTCACAGCCATAATTGACTGTGGCGCAGGTTTTCAATGAGCCCTGGAGCCGAAATGAGAGACGCACGTGCGTGTCGCGAAACTTTTTCAGACGCAAAAAGACGGAAGTTATAAATTTCCAGTACAATACAAATATACTTAATTGCACTTAGGGACAAATACATAACAAAAACAAAAGACATATACTACAGACCGCCTTATTGCTAGATAGCAATCTCCTCCGGGCAACCTCCAGGTTACAGGATAAATTTAACCATACACATAATTGAGGGCGCATCGAACATTCCTAAATTTGTTTTGGGTAGCACCGCGGAATGAATTTCGTTGCTTTCGTTGTTGACTAACTTGTTAGTGACTTGTCATAGTACAGGGAATTCTGTATGATGTAACTTAAAAAATAAATTAAATTGAGGCATTTCGCTCCGTCAATTTGAATGTTGTAAACATGATATTTTTATTATTGTAATGATGTATATGATTATTAAAAAATAAATATCATATTACGTAAGCACAATATACTAGATATCAATAAATAATATTTAAAATTGAGTTCATAATAACTATAAAAACAGTTTCTTTAGTTATGTAATTTCAAAAATATAAAATACATCAATTTTCTTTTGATATATATAAAAAATACCACAGGCGTCTAAGTAAAGCTAAATTCAAAGCGATCCCCGTTTGTTTTACCCGTTTTTCACGCCAGGAGGTCTACTGCCGTTCTCCATTCGACATTCGTCCCAAACAATTACTATCACATAATAAGACCATGTCAAGTAAAGCTTCATTTGCATCATGCATCTTTTAATTTTGTCAAGTATTACTTATTTGACAGTATTTTTTTTCGAACGGAGAACGAGGGTACAAGGCCGCGTTATTGATGTGGTTGTTCAGCACGTTTATTATTTATATTAACAGGAACTCTGGGACATGAACCATTGCCTGCTGGCTTCGCTGGGCACATCGCACCCAGCTCTGGAAGCCATTCGTGCATCGGCGCGCGCGCGCAACCTGGCCTGCAAGCTTACAGGCGCCGGCGGCGGAGGGTCAGTACCTATTTTCTTTCATGATAGTTATCAGGTGACGGAATGGATACGCATAACAATTACAACAGCATCTTATTCTGCCACTGCACCCATCAACCTGAGGCATAAGTTGACTAATCCCATTTGCCTGTAGTGTCATCATCACGTTTCTGCTTGACGGCAATGTGGTACTTCCCTGGACGCACTCTTTCACAAGGAGCTCTACTGCTATATCTTATTATTAATACAATAGTGTATTAACTCGAAAGGTGTATATTTTTCAGAATCGATGAAAAACTAATTACTCACTTCTCGTGAAAGATTATTAAAATGTGTGTATACGAGTAGGTTAAAGTTTATAACGGACATCTAAACAATTTCCTACATGCCATAAAGAGGGAAAAAATAATATCATATTTTTGAATAAGGACTGTATCGTCCAGAACTAGCTAACAAAATGTTTGCCTCATTTCCAGTTTAGTTATCTTTTATTTGTTTCTTACAATATTGTAACGACGATTTTATTGACGTGTAAAAAGTCAAATTTTACGTCGAGCAATAGCATAATCTTGAATTTCACACATTTTGAATTATAACACTATTGTAATAGCAGTGCGATATGTCAAGGAGCTACCAATAATTAACAATCATAAGCACCTTTATTTCGACACTCTTAAGATAATTGAGTCTTATTGTACACCAGAACTACTCTAATAAAAGCTTTCCTTTACAGGTATGCCATGGTGCTCATTCCTCCATACACACCGCGAACGGTAGTGGACTCTCTCACAGGCGAATTGTTGGAGAATGGATTCCGTGTGAAAGAAACTCGCCTGGGTGGGCCCGGAGTCACCCTCGAGATGTGACATAAACCGCCAGCCAAGAGGTTTAGACTTAGTACAAGGACTTACATGGTGTTTGGTACACTTAGAAATACTACTTAATGCATGGGAGCTACTTGGGGTGTTTACGTTTTCGAGCTCTCGAACAAATTTGCATAAGTATCCAATTTTGGTGGCCGAATTATGATTTCGGTGGCCGAATTATGATTTCGGTGTCTACCTTTTAGTCTTCATCGAACTCTAAGTTCGGTGGACGTCTTTTGATAAAACTTTAAAATGAGTTGCTTCTGTGTGGAAAACGTAATCACGGTCAAATATTTTTGGTTGTAATTTATTTTTGGTTGCAATTAATAGAGGAACCAAATATAGTTCATTTAACTTTACGTGAATATTTAGATGTATTCGTACATTTGCAAGGAGAAGCTGTAAATGCTTTCCAGGCAATAGGCGGTGTTGGACATTATCAACATTTGTAATGCAATCTCTAAACGGAGTAATTAGAGCTCAAATGAACAAATGAGTGTTTAAAAATAAGATTTTACAAAGAATTCTAATAATCTCTTACGGTTAACGTAGACCAAAATAGTTGCTAAACGTCTGAAAGCAAAGTTAGAGGCTGACCATTTATGTTTAGATCTTGGTCAATAAAAATATTCTGCACGAAAAGTCAGTTCGTATCATAACTTGTCAACCTCTAATCGGATACTGTAAGTATCACACATGATTTATATTGAGCTGTAAACGTTAGGTTAAAGAAATGGTACTCTTATGCGCATCGCTAACCAAAAACTGCAAATGTCATGCTTCGTACTTTAATCAAAGGCCTGTACAGAAATATGAGTGCAGTAATAAGACATGACATCGCGTGCGCCACACAAATACGTGACATTGTCAATGATAACCACAACTCTGACAGATATGAAGAGATGTGAAACATTAGTTTGTTAAATGCGTCATTTGTAATTTCCTCCTGGCAGTATTAAGGTGGTTTCCCACGGCCTGTGATGGCTTAAGCCGCCCCGCGACGCGCCCATTTGTACGGATTTTTTCACGCAACAGACAAATACACGCCGGGCCTACGCCCGTGGTGGCGCGGACTCAGGTGTGCGTCACGAGTCCTAGTATGGTTTGACTCGAAACGGCGTAGTCCGAATTACAGTCAGTCAGTAAATTACAAGCCGTGGGAAACCACCTTTACGATGCGTTGCACAAATTTTGTACCACAACGGTCCTTGTGTGCCACAAACGTGTTTTGTAATACAAATATTGTGTATCACACGGTGCGCCTTAAAAGTACATTTTAAAATGCACCTAATTATCACCATAAGTGTTGTGTGCTTTGCCTTATTGGTGGCTCCAAATAAGGCCTAATTCGTATAGGTATAAGGTCCTCTTTGATGCTAACGCCCATGTTTAGAACATAGACAAACATTCCAAGTGATGTGACAATATTTTATTAAGATTTTGAGAATAAACATAAAAAGGCTAAGCGCGCACCGCGTTGTGCGGGACATATGATGGGGAGAAATGCGATTATTGCTGCGTTAACGATTTTGTGTTGGGATTTTTATTCGCAATACCCGTTTGTTTACGTTATAGAATAATACAGTAAAAATTCTCCGCGGATTCTATTCGCTATGTACGCTTAGCTTTAAAGTGGGAACAAAATGTAAAGCTCTTTTTGATTGTTACAATATGTATTTATTCCTGAAACTTTGGTAAAAACTGTGGTAGAAGTGGCATATTAGTAGCGACAAAACAATGTATTTGTCACAAAGTAAATATAATTTGAACTTTTTACAATAACGTGTAAACAATGAAGAGCTAATCTTGCCACAGTATTATTGCACAAATGCCGTTAGCAAAACTTCTTATAGAATATAAAGAAAAGTAGTCGAGAAAGCATTTGCATTTTGATCTTATCCAAAGGATGTTTGTCAGATTTTAACCTAAAAACATACAGTTTAAATAAGCATTTCTAAGCGTTGTCATACGTAATAAAAACTAAACATATCAAGAAGATAACACGTGTTATCGTTATGCGACAACGGTGATTCTATCTCGCTTAAAAAAGACGTCAGACGACAATGCTGCATGAATGCACGTTTTGCGTTTGTCACGTTTTAACGACAAATGTAAAGGATTTAAATCACAAGTTTAAGTATGAATGAAAGGGAACCCTCTGTGAGGGTTTGTTTGAGAAAATAATTATTTTTCACTGAACTTAAAAACAACAGCAATTGCTTGCTTGAAAGACGTATGTCACTGAAATTTTATGAAATCATTATCGCATATATTTAATAATACAGTAAGTCATCAAGTCTGCACATAAATTTTATCAGAATTCACATAATGTGATATCATAAATATCATACATAAACCATATTTTATAAAGCTTCAATTTCATGCTGATCTATCAAATTCAAGAAATACTTATCTACAAACTTCATTTCTGATTTCAGTGGTATATGATTTCCCTGGTCAATACAAATGGCTACAGAGAAAAGGTGGCTTTGGCCTAAAATAAACATAAAATTCATAATAATTATATTTTTGTTAAATCGGCCCAAATTTACATTATTTATAAATGGTTTAGGAGTTTATAGATATTGTTAATGTAATAATTTATTAGTATTATTGTTAGTTTACGTTTAGCGCCCACCTTTGTTGTTCTTGAGAGATCTACACGCGTATCTATAATAAACCGGTTGGTTTATGAAACGACTCGTTTGTTCACTTAATCCGCAGATGTAAAACCAAAAAACATCAAACACAGGCATGCAATGAAATCACTAATCATTAATTATTGAATTCGAAAAATACTAAAATAATAACTAAAACGTATTCAATTAGAGAATTATCTATGTAATGAGTTATAAAATAATGCAATTAATTCCTAGTTCAATGGACCACGTTTCCTGAATTGTCTCTACCTGGTAAATGGACACGATTATTAATGAACAAAACTGAAAGTTCGTAGCATTTTGTCCACTTTTTATATAATTTTGATTCTGCTTGCTAAGTCTAAATTTTGCTTGAGTTTACAAAACTCTCACATACTAAATAAAGTCCAATTTACAAAACAAACACATTTATTCAACTCAGTAAATATATAAAAAAGTGTACCTACAGCTTTGATAACCTCTTTGATATAATGGTTTGCATTATGGGTGCTAGATGAGGGGCTCTCGGACACGATTGCCGGTAGACCCATTTTGGGAAAACGAGATAGGTAACCGAGCTACAGATCGAGTCTCGAGTCAGTTGGTAAGAATGGTAGCCAGATTGAGACAACAGACACTGGTTTGAATTCTGTCGGATCGAAGGAATTTTTGTTTGTGTTTGTTCGACATTTGCATTAAACAATAGTATTAATCGTAATTAGATGACCAAAATGTAAACAAAGAAATGTCATTGTCAAAGTGTGAATGCAGATGTGCTAAACCTTCTATTTTTAACGGATTTGGAAAAGGTTCTTCTCTGCAATTTTAATTATCTATTACAAAATATTAACAATGAACAAAATCTTTAACAATTCACAATAATTTAACAAAAGCACTACGGAGACAAGAAAACGTTCGAGTTCGAGAAACGAGCACGAATGACACCTATGACACGACAAAATGGCGCCACAAAAAATGTTGTATTCATGCAAGAAATAAATTTACATTATATTTATATCCTCATAAACGTGATGCAAATCGTTGTGTCTAGCACGGGCGGTCAATAATTCCAAACTCAGTTGTTGAAGCCCTCAGTCTAGACTCTCGTTAGTCATTTCATATTTACTCAGTTATCCCTTTGTTTACATTTTAGACATCTAATTATGATTCATACTATAGTGAAGTATTTTCACAAATAATATACGTCTATCATGGTAGCAGACACAATAAATAATTTTTCTGAATTGGTTCTGGTTTCTAAATTTTTTAACTCATGGTACAGGAAATTCAAAGTAATCGATGTGGTTGTCTTGCACGTTATTATTATTAATGTTATGCCAAAAAGTATGAAATGGCAAGTTAAGTTTGGATACGCGTGTAGGTGACGTAATACGGGTGTCGTTAGGGATAGCTCTCTTCGCTTGCTCAAGCAAGATTTATTGCAGCTATATATGCATTTTGTTGTATCGATTTATTGTATTGTATCCAGTCTATGCTTTTACCGAGTATTCTCTATAGAAAGCGAACAAATTCATTTTAATTTAAATATCGACTAATAATTAATCGTAATTAATAATAATTATTCGTTCACGGATCCATTTTGAAAGTCAGTTCCTATATTCCTTTTGTGCATTTGGCAAATTGTGGGACCGAGAGAAATTACTTGTCAATATTGCTTTATACATGGCGAAGAAACCCATTTTTGTCTCTATAAATCCCGTTACTGGCACACGTTCTCACTTACTCTAATATGTAGTTGTTCTTTATAAGGTGCCAACAACTAGGCTACTTTGCCCTGTATGAAAAATATTGTGCAGATATATTACTATCAAAACGGTGTTGTGCAATGTAATTGATTAATAAGTAAACAGTTATCTCTTTTCAATTTGTCATTTTGTCTTTAGGGACATTGTACACGATATATACTTTACCAAAATATTTCTAGAATGCCAAATACTTGTACCAGGCTGTATATATTAAGCCGGATTTACATTTGTCTGACGTGCCGTGTCGTGACACGTCTGACGGGTATCGGTTTCATTTATTCAATACGGTTAGATTCGTCACGACATGACACGTCAGACAAATGTAAATCCGGCTTTACACATCGGTCTTTAGAAAAGGACAATCGGCTGTTTAGGGCTTTGTAGAGCGTCTTCTCTGTCCCTCATACCTGTGTGACATTTTATTGCTAATTTACAAATAGGCCGATAGTTTTTTTTCTAAAGTTTGACGAGTAATTGTACGCTTTATATATGTGTTGTATATTTGAAAAAAATCATGTTCATCTATTGTAATTTGAATTAAAGATGCAACACGTTTAAAATATTTTTAAAATTTATTTATTTATACATTGTAATTATTATAATTTTAATTGAATAGCGTCGAGCTCAATACGGTAGGATAATCGGTGCTACAAAAGTGAATAATGTAAATTTCGTTAAAGAAACATTAAAAGTTTACGTATTGTGGAATATTAAATTATTTCAATAGAAAGTACATTCTTTTATTTAAAATAAATGCATACTTGTGTGAATCCTTTAGTGTATAACATCATTAATTGAGTGACCAGGTTTAACGACGCCAGCCTCTTTACGTACATGTTTAGATTCCGCAAATAACTGCTGCCAGGGACTCATTGTAGCCAATAAAAAGTACTCGAAAAAACCTTTGCATTTTGATCCTATTCATAATATTAATAATAAATTCGAATTCTTCAAATAGGGCAGGGGTACATTATACATGTTGATGGTAAAAATTTAAATCGATACTTAAACCTATTCGGCCTTCTAAAAGCACGCAAATACAATAATCAAATAATACGCTAATAGATTAAGACTAAAAGCAAAACCTACGCACATTGACTTACAAATAAATGGACGACGGGTTCTAATACAAAAACCACGAAAAAAATGTCCCAAGTCAACCTATTTAAACATAGTGACATGTAAAGGAATATGAAAAAACTAAAACGTTGAATTTAAATTGTAATGTCATCGCAGTACTGTCTAATTTTGCTTGCTTCGCTGTCAGTCAAACAAACGAAGACTAAAGCGAGAATGACGCTCTGTATACGATTTTAACGCCCTATAAGTTCGGACACTTTTTAGCGCGGACCCGACGTCCATATAATTGTAAGTCAATGCCTACGCATTTCCTTTTTCAAACTAGTCAATGGAAGACGCTTAGAGCGATCTGGTATATGATTAAAAATTTTTCCACACAACGTACGAGTTATTTTGGAATTGTACCAAGTATCACTTCATTGGGGTTCCTTAGGCTTCTGGCAGTTACGTCCTTCGATATTATGAATTTTGATAGATTGCGTTTCACAAATATACCAACTTCGAGTATGTACAGGTATGGGAGGGGTGACTCTTACCATTTTGAAATGCGGACGACATGAGACATACGGCGCTACATTGCATATGGCCCGTATACATCGATTTTGAAGGATAAAAACCTTCCCACAGTCTGTACCGTGGCCCCATATTATGACACCGTATATGAGTACAGATTCAAGATACGCAAAATAGGCTGTTAAAGCCGTGCATTTATTCGCCACTTCTGACAATTTGCAAAGAACAAACGCAAACCTATTTATTTTAGTACACACTTTGTCCATTTGATCCTTCCAATTCGTCTTTTCAAATGAAGTCCGATTTTAAATTGACCACTGAAATCCAACAACCTGGTGGTCGAGTAGCTTGCACATCGGTTTTCATGGTGTCGCCATCTCTAAGGTCCTGGCTTCAATCTTCGACTGGCTTAATGTATAAAAACTAATTTTTCTATATTGTCTTGGACCTGGATGTTTGTGATGCATTCGATGTTTCGGTCGTTTCCTCAAGCTTCTACTGGTAGGAACACGAGGACAAATATGTCCTTATGCTCCTACTGGTAGGACCAAAAGGATAAATATGTCCTCGTGCTCCTCCGATTTCCATAACACAAGTAACTAGGTACTTTAGTTGTTCTGTTAATAGAACAAATGGGAAGAATACCAGTACTTTTATCAACAGACCGGTATAACAGAAGTTGTGGGAATAATCAGACAGAACTACTGGAAATCGTAAATCCTATTTGTTCTGTTAACAGAACAAATGGGAAGAATACCAGTACTTTTATCAACGGACCGGTATAACAGAAGTAGTGGGAATAATCAGACAGAACTACTGGGAATCGTAAATCTTATTTGTTCTGTTAACAGAACAAATGGGAAGAAAGGTGTTAGTAATCCTGTTAACAGAACTGTACAGCAGAACTAGTGGGAATAAACGTTTTAGTTACTTACCTACTTTGGAATCAGAGCAAGGTAATGTGATGTTGCTTAGTATTTAAAACATTTATTTACATCTATCCTGATACACGCACCGCCATAAAAAGTCACTGACGTGGATCGTAAAGTATTAAAATCTATATTAATGATACAATTTTAATATCTAAAAGTGCATTTATTCATTTCAACACATTGAGATAACTCACTGCTATAGCCACGATATTCACCAAATAATACGGTTTTTTTTTAAATCTCGTTAATTTCTTTTGAATCACAGAAATGGAAATTAAATACGTTTTATATAAAAAATGGAAGACAACTAAGACATTCCTGTAATGTACACAATATTATGGAATATAATAAAAGTACATCCTAATACATATTAAATGTACCTAAAATGTCTATAGGTATTGATTTGAAAG